TAGATAGATAGATAGATAGATAGATAGATAGATAGATAGATAGATAGATAGATAGATAGATAGATAGATAGATAGATAGATAGATAGATAGATAGATAGATAGATAGATAGATAGATCATCACCGCGGGGAGGGGGGCGATGATAACTTCCTCAATGGCTCAAGGGGGCATTTCTTTCAAAAAGGTTAAGAACCACTGCTCTAAAGCACACATCAGAGAAGAACTGTGACTTCCAAACATTGCCTCCCTTTCATAGTTGCTCCATTACAGCTTTGCTAGCATTCCTACATGCAGTACAACTGTAGTGTCCACATAATGTCCAGCTTCTTGTATCTAAGCACTGTAGTGATTTTAGAAATTTAGGCATGTGCTACTAATGTGCAAAGTGTCTTCTTTCTTTCACCTTGATTTATTTAGTACTAGTACTATACAAAGATATGTTCTTTTTGCAGATGTAGAGTGCTGAGTTTGCAAAAGGTGCAAACAGAGAGAGAAGGGATAGGGCTGGACTCAGCAGCCTAATAACACTTGCATAACTATGCTTTGAGCAATATTCATTTAGGGTCAGGCCATTTATACTGCAGTCCGTTTCTTAACCTGAACCAGGGTGGAAGGTTAGTTTTCATCCTCTTTACAAGTGTAAGGTGTAATTAATTTTGCAGAAATAGGACATAGTAGTGAATCATAGTGGCTTTTTCAAGGCAGTTTTCTCATTTTGTGAAATGTATGGCAGATGATCTTACCCACTCAGGAAGTGTGGGATGCCTGCTGTTCTAAACTTTCCAACTCTTCTCTTCCTTCTGTCCTTTTTATATCTAAAATTAGTGATGCTGCAGTCACAGACTTTGATGATTTAACTAATGGTTTTACAGCAGCCAGGGCTAAAGAAGAATTATTTCTATGTTAAAGAACATATTCTTCTTTTACATTGCCACCAACTTAGCAACTTCCTTCATTTTTCTTCTCTTCCCCTCCCCCTCACTTTTGTTGTCTATAATGATCAAGATGTTTGTGCTTCGGGCTGAACTAGAACAGTTCTAAATGAATATCATAATTATGTTCATACCCTTTATCTCCATGATATTACAGTTTCCCCAAAAATAAGACCTAACCTGAAAATAAGCCCTAGTATGATTTTTCAGGATGCTCATAATATAAGCCCTACCCAAAAAAATAAGCCCCACTTAAGTGAAACCCTGCCCTTTGCCATTGTGCAGCAACTAGAAGATGAAATGACTGTATTTGAATAAATGTAGATTGTTGTACATGAAAAATATAAACATCCACTGAAAATAAGCCCTAATGCAGTTTTTGGAGCACAGAGTAATATAAGACCCTGCCTTATTTTCAGGGAAACGATATAGTAGACATAAATTGCATTTGTGATGTGAATCGCATCTTGATTAGAAAGGAGAGAATTGAGTGATGCCCAGGCCACAGTGATTCAAGGTACCTGAAAATTCTGCATTTATATGGAAGTAAAAATAGGCAGTTTTTACAACAGTACCAGGAATCTTCATCCAAAAGGATCTCATACATACAATCCTTTAACAAAACAAGATACTGTACTGTATGGGCTTTTTGTTTCAGTTGAAGTTCTATGGACAGGGTTTGCTTTCTCATGCAGTCTTGACTAAGCGATGAAATGCTTATAAATAAAGAGGGAATCCTTTCCCTTCTTCCTAACCTCTCCTGTCTGATTAATCTAGCAGTTTAACACAGGGCTTTTGCCTCTTTGCTATAATGTGAATGTTCAGTGGTTACTCATCCTTACAAACCCTATTATCCTCTACTCATGATGCTAGCATGGCAAGATTTGCTGCTCTTTGGACTATGACAGTATGTTAAGATCCTGATCATACACCACAGTTCTGATATTCTGAAATAGTATAGTGTATCCATGATTAAATTTGACCAAACTCTAGGAGGCAGTGGAAGACAGGAGGGCCTGGCGTGCTCTGGTCCATGGGGTCACAAAGGGTTGGACATGACTTAATGACTAAACGACAACAATCCTTGATTAAACAATAAGAATAAATAAAGTACATGGAGACTATTATAAAAAGAAAAGCTAGAAAAGAACTTCATTGTCTCTTTCAAGACATCTATAATGGATGCTGATGGTTGTACGAAGCTTGGGATTTAATAACAGGCCTAACAATAGCATGTCTTCATTCCATTACCTTCTATCACTTCTTTTCTTCTGGCATTTTAATTTTAGTATAATGATGTTTTGATTGCACATTTATATACATTTAAATGAAGTTACTGTGCTGTTATAAGTCAATTAATGCTCTAAGAGAATTTAAATTTAAGTGCCATTACTCTACTTCTGCCATTATATCAAAGTTTACAGTTACTCCACCACTGTGATTTAAATATAGTTCTATTCAGAAAAAATACATACATATGTATCAGCAGGTATTCTTGAGCCTGAATAAATGACTCAGCCACATATATCACTAAAGTGATTTTTCTGTAACTAGATTCCATTTCAGAGAAATATTGGCAATTACATTGTAAATACATTCTAACAATTTCCCAGTGGCTTAAAATAAAATTCTGGAGAAAAAGCAGTATTTAAAATAGTTTTGCAATGTGAAAAACCACAGCCTCTAAAACCAAGAGGTCCATTAAAAATCTAGCACTCAGAATCTAAGAAACACAACTGTATGTTGTTTTTCAGGGTGTTCAGATTTTAGCTTTTCTATCCATGTCACATTTAGCAAAATTTGTAATCTGAATAATGCATAGTTTAGCCACAGTATCCCTTCTTTACACTTCTGCTACAGTGTGCAAATAGTTCATACACGTGCATCGCAATATAGTGGGAACAAGGCACAGTCCATACCTCTCAAAACTGATCTAAGCTTTTCATCCAGCAATTTTCATGATTCTTCATATCTTCCTCTCCTGCCAACATTTTCTCACATTTTAGAAACCAGGATGGGGCTATGCAGGCTTGATTGTCAGTAGCTGAGATCACCAAGGGAAAAGAAAAGGTCTAGCCTTGGCTGCATTGGTGTCATTTGCTCATTTGCATATAACATGATTAGCAATCATTCTTTAGGGGGAAGGGGAACATGTTGCTCTTGAGGGACACAGTTGCAGCAAGAAATGTCACCCCTCATCAATTAGTAAGGTCTTTGCTGCCAGAAATTCCATATGATAGGCCAGAGGTGAGGACAGCCTGCCCATTTTTGTGATCATTGCTACCCAGCTCTGCCAGCAGCATATTTTTGTTATAGTGTTTTGTTGGGGTGGGTTGGGGTTGCAATATTTCCTTTCTTTTTATTTATTTATTTCAAGGGTAAAGGGAAATAACTCGGGATAACAGGGAATACATCATGCTGTACTGTACATTATCACATATTATCTGTACTTAAACATAGCATTACTTTAAAGACTTTTGTGTCTTTTACAGTAGTTGCCTATATCCAACTAGAGTTATTTGACTATTTTGTATTAAAATTAACACATTTGGCTTTCAGGTTATAGAATGGATCCAGTTATATACAGGGTCCCATTTTTCAGTTGCTTCTTGGATTGAATGGTCTTTTAAAGCTTCTGTTAATCTTTCCATCTCCGCCACGTCCACTAGTTCTTCACGATTTGGTATTTTGGTTTTCTTCCATTTCCATGCATATAGTATTCTAGCTGCAGTTATTATATATATCACCAAATGGCACTTTCTCCTATCTAAACTCTCTGGTAACACATTTAATAATAATAGCAGAATTTTCTATAAACATTCATGTATTAGTATCCAATAATTTTTTGCTTCATTACATGCCCACCACATATGATACAAGGTTCCCTCTTGTAATTTACATTTTTTTTATGTACCTTTATACATTTTGACAACTTATGTCATGTACCATCTGTAGAACATTTGTATATATTTTCTTTAAAGCTTACCAATTTTGTAATTTTTATATTAATTTTCCATATTTTTCCCAGTCATCAATATCAATATTATGCCTTATATTTTGCGCCCATTTGGTCATACAATCTGTTACCACTTCATCTTCCATCTTAATTTCTAATAACAATTCATACATTTTTAAATCAATTTACCATCTGTTTCTAATAGTATTTTATACAGGGGTATTTGCTCTGCATAAAAACCCTCCTTTTTATCTTTTACTTATCTAGATTCCAGTTGTATTTAAGCCCACCAATCTATATATATATCTTGTTCTTCTAACTCATCATTTAATTTGCAAGTTACTTTTAGTAATTCTTTATATCTGATCGGATATTTGTTTTCTTAAAAGTGTGGATCTTTAGAACAAGGCATATAATCCCCATTATTTTGTTTTAGCAAAAAAAAAAAGAGAGAGAGAGTTTAAAACTAGAACCGGAATCATGATTTTCTGTGTTCTACTACTACACTTTGGTGGCAGAGGGATGCAGTGTGATTTATAACACATTGTTATGGGGAAATTAGCCCCTAATCTAGTAGTGTCGCCGACCTCTCTTATAGGAGGTAACTGTACATTTCTACCAGCTTCTTGGATCCATCATAATATTGAATTACTAGTCTTTAAATAATGTTGAATGCCTTAGAAATAAACTGATCAATCTATCAAATGCTGTTGTTGAAACATAAGGAGTGGAAAACATGTTTGACTCTGAAGTAAAGCTAAAAGATAGACTGTACAAAATTAGTAGGGGGGGAGAGAAAAGAAAAACCTATGGAGGAAATACAGCAGGCACAGAGAAACAGCATTAGATGTTATGGCTTTGTTTAATTTTACTTTTTACAAAATAATCCACATTTGACTTGAGCAGGTGTCTGTTGAAAGTCAAAGTGAATTTGAAGTGAATGTGCTACCTGCTGTGATCCCTGAAATTCGGAAAGCCAATGCAAACCTGACATCTGACCAAAATGACATATTTATTTCAATTTATTAGTCAGAATCCAAAAATGAGGAAAGGTTTGGTGAGGGGATTTGATAAAGGTGGTTAGAACATTAGTGACATGAAACTCAGAGATTTTTTTTCAAACACTTCTCCATAGTTCTTGCTATTAGTTACTAACAAAATTTAATGGAGAGGTTAGTTATAACAAGACAGAACACAAAAGGTTTAGAGCACCCATATTTTGCATGTTATGCTGAAATCTTTGTGTTTCTATAATCCAACCAGTTAGCATTTATCTATGCATTGTAACTTGCTGGTAAACTAGATGGTTTTCCATCTCTGCTGCTCAGACACGTATTGGAGAAGTGATTAGACACATGTACTGTACTAAGGTTCCTCTGTCCCTCCTGTCTTGCTATTCCAGCTGCTGGAATAAGAACCTAAACATGAATTACTGGATGATCATCAGGCTGCCCATTCTGATAGTTATCGGGGTAAGTAACAGGAATGCTTATAGAGAACTTAGCATCCACAGAGGGAAAGGGCAGTAGTTGAAGATATTTCTAGGAGTATGTTGTCCTTAATTAAAGGGACGTGGTGGTGGTGCAAGTTAAACTGCAGAAGTCTCTGTGCTGCAAGGTCAGAAGACCTGCAGTTGTAAGATTGAATCCACGAAACTGAGTGAGACCCCATCGCTTGTCCCAGCTCCCACCAACCTTGCGGTTCGAAAGCATGCAAAATGCAAAATGTGAGTAGATAAATAGGTATCACCTCGGTGGGAAAATAATAGCATTCTGTGTCTAGTCGCACTGGCCACGTGACCATGGAAGATTGTCTTCGGACAAACGCTAACTCTATCAGTTGTAAACAGAGATGAGCACCGCCCCGTAGAGTCTGACATGACTGGACAAATTGTCAAGGGGAATCTTTACCTTTACCTTATGTTGTCCTTGGTAGGCTATTGCAGAAAACAGCCAATAGTCTGGTGGTACCTTAAAAATTAACAGGTTTTATTTGGCATAAGCTTTTATTATGTGTTTCTTCAGATATATCTGATGAAGCAGGCTGTAGTCCACAAAAGCTTGTATCACATAAAAGTGAAGAAATGAACTTGTTCATGAAAGTTCGCATTAAAATAATAGCAATTAGTCTTTACGGTGACAAACAATTTTTGCCTTCCTTGTTCTTCTTTTGTTTCACAGAATAACATGGCTACCTCTACACATAAAACCTGTTAGTCATAAAGGTGCCATGTGATGCATTGTTTATACTAGAAATAATGATTGCGTAGATGTACATTGGCTGACAGAAATGTTCTGCATAAATAAATGGTGAAGTTCCACAGTTAAAAAGAAACATTAAACGTAAATGTCAAGAATAAATTAATGTAGTTATGCTTTGTAGATGCTACATAGATTGCCCTACTAATTTCCTTCGAAAAACTGGTTTTGTCCACATAGAATAAATTAATGTAGTTATGCTTTGTAGGTGCTGCAAGATAAGTAGTACTAACATACATAGATTGCCCTACTAATTTCCTTAGAAAAACTGGTTTTGTCCACAGCCCCATACTTAGAAATAGTGTTTTCATTTTAAAATGTGAGCACAATAAGACATTGGGCCCTGTTTCTTGTACTTAGCTGATGAAGCAATAATGATTTAATGTAGAGTATTATACTGTATATTCTTTTCCCCCTAGGCATGGGTGAACTACCTGACATATTATACTTCCATAAAATTTTAAACAAATACAAATCTGTTTACAGAGATGCAGTTTTAACTTAACAATACAGATTGTAATTCTCTTCTCCTTTGTTTTTTCCAGATAAACTTCTTGATCTTTATCAGAGTCATATGTATTATAATCTCTAAATTGCAAGCCAATCTCCTGCGCAAATCAGACATTAAATGCAGGTGAGTCAGTTTGTCAGCAAAAAATTTTTTAAAAAGAGAGGATTAATGGAGATAGTTACATATCCCAGCTAGTAAGAGCAAAAACAATACTGTAGTTTGATTTACAACAGCTTAATCACACAGCAATTAGGGCAGTGGGTGTCATGCTTATGGAAAGCTTGCCTTTATTTCTAAATATATGTTTTTCAGTTTAATTTAAAAAAATGAAAAATTACACAAGAATTTTGAGAAAAGGAAAGTTAACACTTATTTTTATGGAACACTTAGAAACACGTGTGTTTGGCATTCCTGAGAAACATTTTTGTCTTACTAAGATTTATCCATTACAAATCCCTATTTATAGAAGACCAATATCATAAAACCTACAACAAAGTGATTTAATTTTTAAAAATTCTGTGGGTAGGCAGTTATTGAGGTCATTCTGCAAACAGCTGGTTCAGAATGGCTAGCAAGACCTTGGGGTCTGTGGCTGAGACAATGGACTACATTAGTACTCTTTTATGTTGACTTCTTTGGTTTCTTGTTTGAGAGAGTTTTATTTTGGAATTCTTTTTTTAGTAAAATTGTTGGCATTTCTTTAAATCTGCTGTTGTTGATATGATTTTATATTTGCTTGTTCTGTCGCTAAATTGTGGGTGATGGTGGTTGTGATTTGTATCTTTTATTTCTGACCATCTTGATTTCGATCTTATAATAGAAATGTACATTGTAAGTGACTATGCTGGATAGCTCAGTTGTTGAGGTATCTGGCTGAGGAGCCAGAAATTGGGAGTTTGATTCCTCACTGTGCTTCCTTAACAAGGGCTGGACACAATGATCAATAGGGTGCCTTACAGCTCTGCAGTTCTAAGATGACGATGAAGTTAAAAGCATACATACAACTCAAAGTAGTTGTCAGCTGTAGCCAGTCATAACCCTGTGTTTCTTCCAGGTAGCACTGTGGCATAGCACATGGTATGTATCACCAGCAAGGCAAACTGATCAAAACAGAGCCGTCACACCATTTTGTCTGCTCTCAGAGCAGCTTTATAAATACTGGAACAGTTCCAGATTCAGTTAGAACATTTTCATCTTTGTTGGAATTCATACCAATATTGCTTCTGTCTTAACATCAAACAGATGGCTAATGCTATGCGTCACTGGGGAACCTTCATTACCAGGCAAGGAGGCTGATTTTCCACTGGTCATTTTATGGAATCTGCAGTCTAGGTCTTGTGAGGAACTTGCATTTGTATACCCCTTAGCATCATGGAATGTCCAACGTAAACCTTGCATATGTCTTACAATGGCTTCTTAGTTCTGATAGGCAATTTCAGCTAATGAAGCTGAATCTACCCTGTCTCCCTGAAAATAAGCCCCAGTATGATTTTTCAGGATGCTCGTAATATAAGCCCTACCCCCCAAAATAAGCCCCAGTTAAGTGAAACCCTATCCTCCACCATTGTGCCACATTGTGAAGAACCAGAAGAAGATGACATGACTGTAAAACATCCCCTGAAAATAAGCACTAATGCATTTTTTGAAGCAAAAAGTAATATAAGACCCTGTTTTATTTTCCGGAAAACACGGTTGGGGCACCTGATTTGGGGTTCTGTGAAAATATATAAAAACACCTCTGCCTCTGAGCATGACCACAGAGGGAATTAACTATTGTGCTTAAAATCAAGAACTCTTAGCAGTCATGTAATTTTTCTTCACAGCTAGATTCCTGAGATGTTAGGGAACTTTCAGAAGGTTAACGGCCCCAGTGTTGCAGTTGCATATCCAAAGGAAGGAAACATTTTTAAGCTGGCAGGAAGACTGCAAAGCAACATTGAAATGGAAGTAGCTTGAAGGCAGCTAACAGTGCTTCAGTGAAGTTCTATCAAGTTTTATTGGTCATTATGGTCAATATCAGGGACGTACTGGTGCAGAGAGTTAAACCGCAGAAGCCTCTGTGCTGCAAGGTCAGAAGACCAGCAGTTGTAAGATCGAATCTACACGACGGAGTGAGCTCCCGTCACTTGTTCCAGCTCCTGCCAACCTAGCAGTTTGAAAGCATGTAAACGTGCGAGTAGATAAATACGTACCACCACACTGGGAAGGTAACGGCGTTCCGTGTCTAGTCACACTGGCCATGTGACCATGGAAACTGTCTTCAGACAAACGCTGGCTCTATGGCTTGGAAACGGGGATGAGCACTGAGCCCTAGAGACGGACACGACTGGACTAAATGTCAAGGGGAACCTTTACCTTTTTGCTATAAGAAGCTGATGATCAGAGCCACAATCAACTCCAGGTTGTTGTTTTTTTGTTTGTTTGTTTTTTTGCTTACTGTATAGAGCTTCTCCATCTTTGGCTGCAGAGAACATAATCAATCTGATTTCGGTATTGCCCATCTGGTAATGTTCATGTGTAGAATCACCTCTTGTGTTGTTGGAAAAGAGTCTTTGTGATGACCAGCTTGTTCTCTTGACAACTCTATTAGCCTTTGCCCTGCTTCGTTTCGAACTCCGAGGCCAAACTTACTTGTTGTTCCTTTTATCTCTTGACTCCCTACTTTAGCATTCCAATCCCCTATAATGAGAAGAACATCTTTCTTTGGTGTCAGTTCCAGAAAGTGTTGTAAGACTTCATAGAATTGGTCAGTTGCAGCCTCTTCAGCATCAGTGGTTGGTGCATAAACTTGGATTACTGTGAAGTTGAAAGGTCTTCCTTGGATTCATATTGAACTTATTCTATCATTTTGGAGATTGTATCCCAGTACAGCTTTTCCCACTCTTTTGTTGACTAGAGGGCTACTCCATTTCTTCTATGGGATTCTTGCCCGCAATAGTAGATATGGTAATCATCTGAATTGAATTTGCCCATTCCCGTCCATTTTAGTTCACTGACACCCAGGATGTTGATGTTTATTCTTGCCGTCTCCTGTTTGACCACATCCAGCTTACCAAGTTTCATAGGTCTTACATTCCAGGTTCCTATGCAGTATTTTTTTTTTGCACTATCAAACTTTCCTTTCACTTTACCTTTTCCTTTCCTTTTTACCTTTACTATGGTCAATATCTGATTTACAAAGTAGTACAAGGGAAAAGAGAGTAAAAGTAACACCTGGTGTGGGTGAAATATGTACTTGTATGTGTTACTAAATCTACACAGTATTTGTTTATTTTTTAGTCAAGAGGGTGTCAAAACTTAATATATTAATATTGGAGTAACCAGCTTACAAGGATCTCCTGGTTTAAATTTTATCTTCATTGTGCTGAGACTTGATACTGCCTTTTCTTTGTGGTTATGGTTTTCTGTGCTTTTACTGTCCAGGTTGGCAAAATCAACACTGACTCTGATCCCACTGCTGGGAACACATGAGATCATCTTTGCTTTTGTTACTGATGAGCACGCCAAAGGGATGCTGCGTTTTGTGAAGCTCCTTTTTGAACTCTCTTTCTCTTCATTTCAGGTAAGTACCCCAATAAGGGAACATGGTGGCATTGCGGGTTAAACCGCTGAAGCCTCTGTGCTGCAAGCTCAGAAGACCTGCAGTCGTAGGATCGAATCCATGCGACGGAGTTAACCCCCCTCACTTGTCCCAGCTCCCACCAACCTAGCAATTCAAAAGCATGCAAAATGCAAAAAGATAAATAGGTACCACCTTGGTGGGAAGGTAAACGGCGTTCCGTGTCTAGTCACGCTGGCCACGTGGCCATGGAGGATTGTCTATGGACAAACGCTAGCTCTATGGGTTGGAAACGGAGATAAGCACCGCTGACTAGAGTTGGACACAACTGGCCAAATTGTCAAGGGACACCTTTACCTTTACCTTACCGCAGTAATCACATGGTTCAGCACATTTGCTATTCATATTTCAAAAAAATTTTTTTGTTAAGAACTAGTCTGTATTTCTGATTATCTGAAAGTAGTCTCCTCTAGAATTAGCATTTTGGAGAAGTCAAGCAGATGAAGTGAAAAAAGATTTGGGTGAGATGTCCTTTGTGTTCTTAATTCAATTTCCTTTATACTGCCAGAAGGTAATAGACTTCTGATAAGAGATTACTTAAATTCTACATTGAGAAATCAGTGCTCACTAGCTCTCTGACCACAGTAAAAGGCCAGGGACTTTTAAGAACTTTTAAAGATTTTGCAAAAAGTGTGCTGCATATGTACTGCCCCATATCACTTAAAGCACTCTGGGCAGTTTATAATTTGATTATGCAGGCTACACATTGCCCTCTGCTACAAACTGGGTACTCAATTCACCAGTCTCGGAAGGATGGAAGACTCAGTGAACCTTGAGCCAGCTACCCAGGATTGAACCTGGGTCGTGAGCAGAGTTTTGGCTGCAGTACAGAGCTTAACCACTGCGCCACGAGACTTGTTGGTGACTTCTACCCAGAATTTATAGTTGCCAAGTGTCCAGAGTTTGGGCATTTGGCAAAACTGGAGGAGGTAATATCAGAAACGAAGCCTCTCCTCTGGGGGCCTTTTTTGTAAGCCTAATGTTCAACTTTATGGAAATTACATGATTGATGGTCACGCTGAACTGAACTGAATTCATAGGCTTTGTTGTCACCTCAGGAGAGATACTTCTTTAATAATAAGCACACAAATATAACTGGCATCTAACAGGCTGTGCAGATTGGATTCTGAGCCTTAGTGGGCCAGGTCCAGACCATTCTGCTAAAACCCTCTTCCTCTGCATACACATCTGTCCCAGCAGTATCCTTAGATAGCTTAGATAGCATCCCTTTATAAATGAATGTTGAGAAGTTTTTTGTTCCTTAGGTGCAAAAGAACTCAGCATAACTTGTAGATGCTCAATCCAAATTGCTGGAATTCTGAGTAAGAGAATACGCTAGCTCTCACAATATCCTATATTCAGTAGAATGACTTGGTGGACTCTGTACCTGTTAGCTTGCACTTGAAAAGAGCCTTTATCAATTACAAATATAGCAGAAAATTAAAGGTATGGAACAGTAGGGAAGGTAACAAATGGAAGTAATAATAAACATATGTCACAGAAGTGGTAACAATTAGTTGTGGCTTTTGAGTCGGAGTTTTTACATGATGGCACCTGAACTACCAACATGTGAATCTGCTCATGTCTTTGAACAAGGAACTGTGAATCTTAAATAATGTTAACAGGGCCATCACTGTAATTGGATAAGTGCTTATCTTGGATGTTCTCTTTTGAACTGTGGCTGTTGTTTTTATGGCGATACTGTAATTTTCATTGTCTATTTTGATGCTTTTCTTCTGTGTAAAAAGGTAGATAGCTAAATAGTAAAATAAATTTTACTGATAAAATAAATTAAACTGAAATCTGGTCATGAGCCAGCAAGGCTTTATTCAGAGGAGAAAAATGACACCCTTCATTATTCGGGTCATTCGTATACTGTATAGAAATGCTATTAAATATAGTCTGATTTCCTAGCTAGTATGGCTTATGAAGTTTAATGTCAATGAGAGTGTGGATTTTCTAACAGCTAATTTTGCTTGTGTCTTTTTAGGGACTTCTGGTTTCAATTCTCTACTGTTTCAACAACAGTGAGGTACGAGACATGATTTAATAAATAACATAATAATGAGTTCATTTTAAATGATCCAGCAATCTATGTCCAAAATGCAAAAAGCACTGCAAAAACAATGGAAAAAAGGAATTTATGGTGTGGTATGCCCCTAGGGAGATTACTGTATGATTTAGGTGCCACCACATAAAGGCCCCATCTCAAATGCCTACTCAGTATCTTTCCTTGGGAAGCTGGGCTGAGGGTGAAGGCCAGGTATGTTTGAATGGATATTTTGCTGAGTGTGTCCCAGGACCGCGCTCCTAATGGCGTGCGAAATTCTCAAATTCTATCTCTGGGCTTAATATGGTAAATAGGAAAGCCAATTAGATTTGCATAAGCCTGGGAGGCAGGAAAGTTTTAAGGGTCAGATCATACTTTCGCACTATTAAAGAGCAGGCAGGGTAGGTGGGGCTCGTCAGCCATGGAAGGCAGCCAATCTAGGAGAAGGAAAACTCTGATTTCAAACCTTCACTGCCTTGTGGCTATATCCACTCATGGAAAAGGCTTCAGGAGTTAACCTAGAGGCAAAATCCGGAGCTGGAGTCCCGAAGGCAGCTCGTGTCGTTCTGCCAACTCCTGCGACGTTGCTGGAACCAGTCGTATTGGCTCTTGCCTTTCCATTGGACCATTTCAGCAATGTGGAGAGGGGGGTTCTGCTGCTTGGGTAACAGCTTATCCTCCATATTTACCCAGGCTTCATGCTCTGGAGAGGACACTCCTCGATTCAGAGCATGTTACCATAGTCTCTCTAGACTGAAGGATGCCTATGTATGTATCTTTCTAATGGCAACAGAATACAGTGTAGGACCTTCATTATTAAAAATGAACTGGGTGTTATTTATTTATTTATTTATTCTATTTATATCCCGCCTATCTAGTCGATTAAGACCACTCTAAGCGGCTTACAACAAGGGGTACAACAATGAATAAAAGCAGTTTTACATAAAAGAAAACTTTCAACAATTGGGTTAGACACTAGGAAAGAAAAGGGGAATCAGGAATTAACTAGGAGGGAAGGCCTGCCGAAACATCAATGTTTTTAGTTGATTTTTGAAAAT